TTTCTGTTGGATCTTTTGGTTTGCATAATATCGAATTAAGCGATTTGACTGGCTTGTGTGCTATATCTATATCAAACGGTTTCAATATTCTAGCTGTTATTTCAGAGATATTTCTCATGTATGGTAGAATGAATTTTCTTGTGGTCTTTGATGATGGTTTCTTGTTGGTGTTTTGATTCGACTTTAAACACTTTTTGATGAAATTTTGTGGATAACCATTCTTTTTGAAGACCGTTTGTAGGTACTTTTCTTCCATTCTTTTCAACTCTGGAGTGCTACAATGTGTCTGAACTCTTTTAAACAATGTCTGCACACAGTTTCGTTTGTGAGTAACTGGATTATTGCTATTATTATTGATATTATTATTACTCCTTTGGGTTCCGAATGGAACAAAGGGCTTGAGTAGCACATTTCTAGTGCACTCTGATCTCTGGTGTCTCTTTCAGCCAGCTCTACGATTGCCTACAAGCTTTCATTTCCTCTTCACAAAATCCTCTCCATGTTAGACCTCCAACTTGTCGCTTACCATTCGAGTTGCACTCATGAACCATTTTGACGAGTGGCGTCACTCAAAAGCCTCCTCAGTGTACGTCCACCTTACAAAAGTGTTTTTAAAAGGTAGATTAACGTCAGCATTTTCTTGGTGGTAAGCTAACAAACAGACTTGATTTCATTGTGAAAAGGAGGTATCTGTTGAAACCCCAGGTATATTCAGTATTTAGTTCGAATACGCTAATGAATAAATATTGGAGAGTATTGCTATTAACCTCTGGTGGATACACAAACTTCCAGTGGAAAGTCAGTTTATACTGATTTTCGATGAGTGAATTGGAAGTATGTGTCGATCACGTATTGATATGAATGGTTACTTTTATGATGATGGTTTTGATATTTCACCTTCTCTGTCAGAGAAAATAAAGAAAACTCTACATTAATAATGTCTCTGCCTTCGGAAGTCTATTGAAAATCTCATTTATCAGTTCATTCATTAGTTTATCCTTGACTTTGCTTTTCGAAAAAGCCACTGTTTGTTGATGAGTTGCTCTTAACTGAAGTTATTAATGGAGTAATTTAGACTTCTGCACACAAAGTGCTTTAGCTCGTCGTTATGTGCAACTGCAGACAGTCTGTGGTACCGAATTCATATTGACCTTGCCGGTCTCATCAATGGCATGTCTTATCTAGTGGTATCAGTTGACTTTTCAAGATGATCAGAAAGAAGACAAAGGATACCCCACAATTACAGACTGCCTCAGAAAGAGCGCGTTTCTGACCATCAGTCTTCTTAAAGTGGGAGGTATTATGTGTAACTTAAGACTAGCTGGACAGCCCATTGGTCAGAATTTAAACTGCATAAATATTGACTGGCTAGACAATAATCAGATAACAACCAGTCGGATTTCATTATGCTGACAACCGTTCAGTCATTGGCCCAACATCGCAGTATGTAATTAGTCTGTGATAACTTTTGGTATGAATATAGCAACTATATTATTTTAACCACAATACCTCTCACTCGCTCGCTTGGAAATACACGTTTCCAATATGAATGTATCAGTCTTCTTCAAATTGCTATTTTCCGTTTAGGAGGAATCTGGTGGAAAATATTTTGAACGTTCGTTACTGTTGACCTTACTTCTTTGAAGATTCAGGAAATGCAACACACATTTTCTTCAAAATCTGACAAACTATTTCAGGGAACAAAACTTCATCAATTTGATATATATTTGCATTGAACTTTAAATTTGTGTCGTGACTATTTCCGTATTTCCGCCAGCATAATGTGTAAGTATATCTGACATCAAATCAGTGCTTTTATATGATTCAGAGGAGCTTCACCAAAAGCATTCCCGATAGACTTCAGAAGCTTATCAACATCTTCCTTCTCTCTATACCAAGAATCTATCGCTTAACAAATACTCTGAGAAGAATGGAGATAAATAGGAGACACACTGAGGAGAACCTTGAGTGACATCACGCGCCAGACAACCATAAAGTGAAACCCAAATGGGAAACGGTGAGTTAAGCTTCTGAAGGTGACGAGGTGGAGATCGTTTGAGTAAGAAATGAAAGTTCATGGGCAGTTTCGCAGCCAGCTAAGGAGGACTGCAGAGAACAGAACAAAACAGAGATGTAGTGCTGAAGCCCTTCGTTCCACTTGGAACCTAAAGGGAATAATAATGAATGCTAAGTAAACTTTATTCTTAACCTATCCACACCAATGTTTCTGGCAAATATAATACACGCTGTTCCTAAGATACACTCAATCAAAACCCCACTAAGCTGCATTGAAACAGACTTGTATCGTTTTGAAAGCTTTAATACTGCACTTCCAAATAGTAGATTAGATAGCGGGTGAATATTTTCACTTTTCAAGTAATGACTTTGTCAGGATTCCGTTTGATTGGTTGTAGGATTTCATCATGAACTGACATGAGTTAGAGAAGCTTTGGAAAATCTGGGAGTACTATACAGCCAGCTATTTCGTCTTAGTCTGGGACTCTTCAGAAGGTCATGTGTTCGAACTCCGGTGGGTGCTTACTGCTGAAGAGTTCCAACTAGGCTAACGAAACAGCTGTCCAGTACTCCATGGTGGTTTTTCAATGGTTCTCTAACTGATGTCAGCTCATGATGAAATCCTTTAACCAAATTTGTTCACTTCGACAAGTAAAATGAAACTGTTTCAGTTGAATGCCCGATAAAGTATGTAGCCATTTTTTATAAGTGATTGAAATGTTTCAAGACTTGTAGTTACATCATATCAAGTTCATTGGACATCTAGTACTCACTCAGAATTACTTTTAAAGCTTGGATTAATTTGACAGATATATCATATTACCGTTAACATGAAATTTACTTGAGTCTATGTTTACTAACCGCTGCATAAGATTTCTGAACCGATATCCACCTAAACTACATCATTTTATCAGTTATAGATGAAGAGGTTTCCAGTCGGAAAACGTTTCATCTACTGGTACAAAATCCATACAGAATGACGAAAGACCTAATAGACAGTGCCTTCCCAATCACAATTAATTGTAATAAAATAAAGGAATTTTTTGATGCAAACTATATTTTATATCCATAATACGTCAAAATAGTAAAACATTTTATCCACAGAGCACAATAATGTTATCTGGAAAAAAACAATTCCCATTGAGAAACACAAATTAAATTAATTGGTTTTCAAATATCATTCTTTTCAGGAAACAAAATTGGTCTTTCATAAAAGAAGAAAGTGGGCACCCACGATTGGTAGCATCCAACCAACTATGTGCTTGATTAACACGGAGTAGGAAAGCCAAGTCTGAGAATCTGAAAAATAAATTACGCAGAACATATGTTTAAAACTTTATGAACGCGTATTCACAAGTAATGGTCCTAAAGTATGCGACAGTAACTTCTAGGTAAACCACAAAATTATTGTCCAATATACATAGAAATAGCTACAATGAAATCAGCGTCTTTTTCCCAAAGTTAGTAGCAGTGACTTCACATCTATCAACCAAACCATTGTGAATCTGTTTTTCGCATTTTATTAGCTGATTTTCTTTAACTGGTCCAGGCCTAAATGTGCTATATGACTTTGAATATCAACCTTATGCTTCAATCTAACAATATATGCTTCTGGTCAAAAATCTGTCGGATGAACAACAAAATTTCGAACAGATTGAAAGGTAACTTATGCAAATGTACCTGGTGCATTCTCTGACTTTCTTGATTTTTTGGAAAGATTACTAATTACTGTGAGATTTGAGAAGACTTTCAAAGAACTACTTAGGCCAATCTTCATTCGAAACTTTCAAATTAATTGTTAGAGAAATTAAAAGCTTATCACCTTTTCAAATCATTAAAAAGCTATAAGAAATCGTATGATTTACAAACTTCGCAAAAGCTGCCATAGTAGAAAATGACCTGCATAGTGTATTAACCGAATGAATAATATAACGAAAGTGACGTGTCATCTCCAGGAAAATCTACTATTTATATAATAATGATAATAACTTTATTCTAAACAGCACTTACATATTGAACATCCTGCAGATTTGGAGCCTGTGAGAAATAATTTAGCAATAAATTTATTTTTTTGTAAAAAATCCTGTTTGAAATAGGATTTACTTTAAATATGCATACTAAATTACATAAAAGGATTAAAAGGAAAGCCATCGATGTAACTCTACTGTAAATACATGAAACTATACACCATTGACTGACTGACTGACATGAGCGCTTGCTAGTCGATCCAAGTGGTCTGAGCACCAGACATCTATTTTGCACGTTTGTGGCCGAATTAATCCGTCGTGTACACCATTCGACTCAGCTTAGGGAGTTGACTTAGTTCAAACTACCAGCTAGCTAATTGTGTGAACTGGTAAGACCATCAAATCAAATTCTTAATATGCAAATTAGTTCACAGCTTTACAAATAAATTTCCAATTTACACAGTTCGAGGTGATTATTTTACAAAATTGCTTCAGAAACCAAAATTATTCAGTTCAGAATATGTGATCTGATTAACACTACAAATAATTAATCAGGACACTAAGCATAAATGCAGATCGTATATTGTCATCTGAATAATTTCACTAGTGAAATTACACCTAGAAATGTACAAAGTGCAAATTACGCATTTGAGATTTATGTACCTCTACCGTGACTTGAGTTTGTCTCCTTATCTGACATCCCCTTCCTTGAGTAACTGCCTTAAACAATTTGTAGGAGGACAACAAACATGCAGACATACAGTCACCACTGTTTATGCTGGGTTTTGTACATTAAATTCACACGAATATTAGTCATAGATCAGTATTTCTGGGACAGAAGAAATAAAAACAACAATGTATTACTATTAAAAGTTAACCAATTATCCTATTTTATCAACGAGGAAGTGAAACACATAGACAAGTCGTTCAATGACAAACAGTAAATGTTGGATTTTCATAATTTCTGATCAATCCACAGTTACTTGTCTAACACATGAAATAAGTTGTAGAAAGCTATTATGCAAACAGAAGCTTACGTCGTTCACGTCGACTTCTAGTAAAGTTTTTAATTCTTTCCACTACAGCTAAAATAAAAATATAAGACAAATGCTTTTTTAATTATAGAACTAAGTTTAGTTCAAAGTTCAAAAATAGGAAAAAAACACTTTCAGGAGAATACTGTGATGTCGCTTGAACGATTTTCTTCCCTTAGAAATCGGATTTCTTGTAAATTACATTACAACATATAAAAAACCCAGTTAAACCTTATTTACATATGGTTACATGCTTCATGAGAAGAACAACCTTATTCTTCTATGAGACCATATTATGATCGAACTGGTCTGAAGTTATACATAATGGAATAATAATCTTCATTAGGCAACTCAGATTTCTTTCAGAGAAATGCTGGCGTAACTTTCCCCCAGTCACTTACTTCTAAACGTTTTTTATAAGACATTTCCACTTCGATTTACAGTTACTCTGCCAGATGATAATAAATATGAGGAAAATGTTTTCATCACCATCACAACAAATGAAACGAGATAAATAGAATTCTACACAGAGCCAAGGGAGGGAACTACTTTATATCAGATTCCAAAATCTCAGTTAAACGTATTTTCCATCGCTAAATACATTTCTGTATTCTTTTGTCAAAAAACTTGCTAGAGTGCACGATTTTATCGGCTGAGAATGCCTTTATTGTTTCGAACACTCCGATCTCACATTTTCTTGTCTTTTCAATTTATACGAAAATAAAAAGGAACAGAATAAACAATAAAGACAAAAAAATGCTCTTTTGATGTGAACTCTAATTATACCAATATATCTTTAGTTAAAACGGTTTGTGGCTAGTGCTACTCATAAGATTTATCAGTAGTATATAAAGAGACGTTCATCAGCATAAAAGCGTCAAATAGAAGGGAGATACATTTGATTTCAGAGAAGGTAAATGATACAGCGTTGTGGAGATAGATGGGTGACGTGAAAGGAACACAAAAAAACACAACATGAAGTCCAGAAGTACCACAACACGGTGATCTGCGTTGAAGATAGGGTATACATAATTTGGCTATTTAGAGATACCAATTTGAAATACTCATCCCTTTACCAAGTCTTTGTCTTCTACCGCTTCTAGTTCTCACTCGTCCAGTAACCTCTCATTCGCTATACTTCCGACATAGCTCGACAAAACAAATAATTTATAGGAAGCCTACCTAACCAGACAGCATTTAAATTTGCAGTGTTTCTGCTGACTGCAATAGAAGATTGGCTTAGTAAAATGGTTATCTGGTAAAAACCTAGTCTGCCTGAACAAAGACCGTTAGTGAAAATAAAATCTCGACCAATAGACTTGTCAAAAATAAATAGTTATAGGTTTCCAGGCCGTAGGTGTTCCGAACTTCCTGGAATAATTTGAGCGCTGAGTCAGTTTGATTCATTATAAATTATTTAAATTAATCCCAGTGTGTTAAGAAAATCAAAACAAGATTTTTCTGAAAGTTTTGCTGTGTAAGCCACAGCTTCTTCAGCGGATTTATTCGGACTTATTCGAAAAATAATTTATAATGAAAAGTAAATAGTGTTTCAAGTTCTCAGATCGGTGTTGGGGACGGTCAAGTTCAAAACCCACAGTTTACCCTCTCTCTATGAAAGATGGCTTTAATAAATTACCTTACAATAAGTTCTTTGATTAGCTAAATTTACTGTGCAAGCAACCAACAAATTTTCGAAAGTCCAAAATCATGCTCTGTCGCAAACCTTAATACTGTGCAGGCAGTTCCGTGGCATAATATACCGCGTACCACTTTGCGTGCATGTGTGCATATACATATAACGGAAGGAGTAATAGCGCCTAGCATTTTGAGATGTGTGAGCATTTACCCAAATAGCTTGAAAAACAAAACATCTCACAGAACTGGAAAACCGTAAATGTTAGGCTATCACCGTTTTCTGTGGCCAGGCATATTATTGATATGAATCACAAATTCGTGACCAGCGGGGTAAAACAGATAGGGTGTGAGGAAAACTACTCGCCGATGACATTGGCTAGTGATGACGCCACATCGTGAATTGGCGGAAGTTGGAATTCATGGGTTGGCCATTGGATCGGTTTCCCAGTGGCTTAATGTTCTACGAGCTCGTCTTGTGACCGGAAGGTCATGCGTTCAAATCCCAGTGGGTGTATACTGTTGAAGAACCTCAAACTAGGGCGAGATAGCTGTTCAATACTCCCAGATTTTCCAATGGTTCTCTAACTGATGTCAGCTCATGATGAAGTCCTATAACCTGTCAAATCCCTGCAAATCAGCACTTCAAAATCATAAGAATTATGTGAAAATAGTCTTCAAGATCATTTTCAAAATCATAGTTGAGCAGATATTAAAATCTCCTGTGGTACTCCCTCCTTGTTTGTCCAAATGCACTTAACTGTCACACTTAACCTACCTTGTTAATCCCCATTTGATTGCATTATCAACGGCAGTGTCATTTATTGTCCCCCTTACCTTTCAGTCTCTTATCCTGTTTCTTTTGTTTGACTTTTCACGGTTATCATTTTGCACTATAATACGCTGAAGAGTGGTTATGGGATGCAACTGTTCAAAATCCATTGCCCAAACACATAAACTTTTCAGATAAACTCTATTTTCGGGAAATTTGCTAATAAATGAATCACTCACAACGACAGAAATTTCACGAATAAATCAGTAGAACTATTCTTGTCTAATTACTGATGTTAAACTAAGCAGTACTTCGATGTTCGTATCACACCAGTTTATCCATGTACTTTATTATTATTGTTCCTTTGGGTTTCAAGTAGAACATAGGGCATAAACAACACATCTTTACTTTATTCTATTTTCTGCTGTCGTCTTTAGGTGGGCCAACTATTGACCATAATCTCTGAAATCCTCTATTTCACTCTCTGACCAACGCCAGACTTGTCTTTTTCCTCTCACCTTCCACTCAAGTGATGACCTAGTGCGCAATTTCATTCGAGGGTCTCCTCGGCGTGTGCCTAATTCATCTCCATTTTCTCCCACGTATTCGTTGAGCGATCGGCTCTTGGTTGGTTTGTGGCCAGAGTTTCCTGTCGCTAATTCTTTTTGGCCAGCCAGTCATTCGATCTTCAGTATGGAGCTAGAGAAGAAGGGAGTTGTTGATAAAAGTCTACAACAGGCTGTTGGAAATCCTTTTTGTGACGCTCCAAGTTTCTAACCCGTATAGAAGAACTGACTGACTTCACATTTTTGTCTGAAATCCGAATCTTCTTCTTTATGCTGGCTGAGTGCAGAAAATTTTCAAACTGATTTCAGATTCTTGAAGGAGTATCTTGCTTTTCCGGTTCTGCTTTTGACATCTTTATCCGTCCCGCCTGTCATTGAAACAATGTTTCTTAGATAAATAAGGGAAGTAATCTTAGTGCTGTTGGTTATCTTCATCACCTTCGTCTTCTCGATGTTCATCTGGAATCAGCAAAGACAGGACTCCAATAAATTCAATTATTTCACCTAAATGGTTTAAGATACATGTCAGGTTTTTCATATTCAAAATCATGATCATGTAAGTGATTTCAGGTAGGCCAGCTGTTAAGATCTGAGTGCAAGCAAACAAAAATCCTCATGAACTTCTGCATCGTACTGAAGACTTCTCAACTGGTGAATTTGCATGTAAATCAGTTCAGTTATTCACATAATATCAGGCAATATAAAACTTGCTTTTTATCACATTCATTAACCAAACAACACCATTTGTTTTTATAAAGTAGGACTCACCTCTAGTCCTCTGGAATCTTTTATGTGCTGCAAGATAAAACGAAAAGTAAAATTAGGCGCTTTAACTTAATCTAAATAGAAAAATATTAAATCAGCAATTCCTCAGACACACGTAAATAAATATATATACAAGTGTACATGTATGCTTTAGTGAACAGTTTATGAGCATGATATATGATAGATTGAAAGCTCACCTCTCCTGGTCTCATTATCATCCTTCTCATCGAATTCAGAGGCTGTAAAAATAAGTATATTTATTTACTATACTGTGAATATTTGTGCATTTAAAGTTCAATTAAACCAACTTTCCGTACACACTTTCTACACCACAACATTTAAGTAACCTCTGAAAAATTAATAATGCCTAACGAGATAAACTATAAGAGATTCACAGAACATTAGTAGACTTCATTTCCAGCATCTTGAGGACACAAATGTCGGAGTTTAATGGTGATTATTATTTAAAAACTGTACATTTTTTCATCAGGTATATTTCAGAATTGCTTAATAGTGTGGCCATAACATAAAAGAATGATGTTTCACAAAAGTGTTAGAACCGATTTCTTTAAATATAATCAATCCAGGCAAAATGCGCCCTGATAAATATATCCAACTAAGAATTATCTTCTTGCAGCTGTTTGCCTTGATAAACAGCAAATGCTTCTAATAGCATTATTTAAGAATTATTTATTCATTTCCCTGTGTTTGCATTACTTTCCTTGAGGCTTTGAATGTGTATCACGTAACTGATATTTCGGTGTCACCACACTAGGAGGTACATTCTAAGATTTTCATTCATTTCACTTAGCACGTCGTCATATAAATGTCTATTTGAAATACTAAGGAATTAAACTGATCTTCATGAGGGATATATGTTAAATAGACCATCTTTACTAAAACGTAATGCACAGCTATGATAACAAAGATTAGACATTGTTAAACTGTCAGCAGGTTCACTGTCTTAAACACCGTCAGTTTCACAATTTACTCTTTGGTTATGATAAATTACATTTTAAGACAACCTATGATGGTGAAAAATGAGTTTGTATGATGTTCCATGTTCTTGAACTTAGAATCGGTTGTAATTTCTTCACGAATTAGCAACTAAGGTATCACGTTAGTGACAGGAAGGATAAACTATCCTTATTAATCGTGAAGTCATATAACATGCATGCGCCAACATGATAACCTGTTTGGATGGTATACGATTGGTTTATTTTCGGCTTGAATTTCCTAGGATTTGTAAACTATAAATACTCTGTATTTTGAATAATGAAATGTTGTCACTGTTGTCATTGTTACTGCAGTTAAATCTGCCTTGTGTGTCCACCTCAGTGCTGGGAATATTTTCAAGTGATCACGTGGTTATAGTGTTGTGTCTGGAGGTTCATTTTAGTCAAGGGAAGTTAGGCAATAATCTTAAATCAGTAGCACTTCGTTATAACACTCATGGCAAGTAGATATAATTATTGTTAATGTCAACTATGCAATTCATAAGAATCCTTTTTCCTACCGTTATAACACTACAATGGATAATAACAAAACAAATATGATGCCTTGTAACTTACGTTTGTCAACTTCCGTTAGTGATGAGTTATCGCTTACCAGTTTGGAACCTAGAAAGAAGATGAAGAAATACTGGATTTTATTCTGAAGTTCAATAATCACCTAGGTGCGTGTACTTTTCTGACGATCTTGTAGCACTTTACTAGTTCTAATCGCATAAGTATTCATTGGTGCTATCTGAATTGAAATAGATAGAATTTCATTCTTTTTCGTATACACAGGTATCGAAATTCTTGTGAGGTTCAGAGAAGAAACGCTCCAAGGATGGTACATTTGATAACTGAAAGAAACTGTTATTTGCGCCATTCGTACGGCCTCGCGTGTCAATTTGTAAAGAATATTTCGTCTGCCATAGCACCTATCCCGTCTATAGATAGATTTTCTCTGCTCTAACATTTGACGAAATTTCATGACACACATTAGCCCTCAAGACACTGTATCTGCCCGATTCGGTGGCTAGTAAATTATTCTTGTATGTTTTACAGGCTTTGTAGACAAATTCTCACTAGTAGAGGCTGTCCACTGCCCACTTCAAGTTTGTTTGCTGTCCTTAGCCCCCTGAACCAGACACGTCTATAGATAACGATTGATTAATGTTACTTGTCTCATGTAAATAAGTATTGTGACATATCTTGTTCTTTCGCAATATTTATATTCTGAATGTGCTACTCGTCACCAAAAATATCCTTAAATTTCCGGATAAATGAAGATATGCATACAATATATGATTGCATTCATCCTTCTCGTCTATCTGTAATACAGCAAGTAAGTGTGAAGATTCGACAACATATTGTACTACATATTCAGAACTGCACACTGTGTCAAAAGTACTGTTTAGAATAAAATCATTATTATTAGTATTAGTAGTGTTCTGTTTCACTGGCCAGCGGAATACCACCATTTGAGTTTTTCTTCTTAACAGCTGATTACAAAACATGCGAAAATGTCTGCCATACAAACAGAATGTGACTTTTAGTCTGTTTTGCGTAATTTTTTGAAGCTTAAATTAAAATCAACTCGCCTAATTCAAACACATTAACCGAAATCTAGATATAGCAGAAATATTCATTCAGACATCTATACAATAATTGAGTAAAGAATATCCTTTTCGATAATTTCCTCTTCTGGCTCTACAATTATATATATATGGTTAAATACATAGAATATCTTGGAATAATCGTCATGAATATATAAGGTTTTGTGTTAGTATCTCACTGATGTTATCCCTGAGGAACTGAATTTGTAAGAGTAAGGCCTCTTTAGGAACTGTTGGTACCTTGGGCTGCTTTGATTTTTGATTCATATTCTCGTCAGTTAATTTTTCTGTATAACCGTTTTCACTCAGCAACCGTTTAATATTATTAAGTTCCTCATCAAGACATTCCTCCGAGCAGATTGCTCTTGCTCTGTGAACCAAATACTTTATCAGATTGCGTTTGTATTTCAAGGACACGAAGCTGAAAAAATGAGTTTACTGACCGGCTGATGTAGGTTTCTTATATACACTTCTGCTTATTGTGGCATCTAAATAATCCAACTAATAGAAACTCAGACATTGAAGTGATCTACAGAAAAAAGGTACCACAAAACAGTCATCAATTATCTTAATTAAACATGACTACTCACCACCACGATAATTCATTGGAATTCCTACTTTGATCGCTACACCTGAGTCTATGAATAGGAAGGCAAAATAACAAGTTATGAACTTTTCCATGCATGTACATATTCAGCAAATGAAAATTTAATACATAATTATGATTTTCTTCAAGTGTAATAAATAAAATATGACGTGAATTACGAAAACATTTATTGGTTATGCTATCATTGTAAGGTTCTCAGTATGTTTAGACTGTAATTTCAACACAGGATAATTTCATTTATCGAGATGCGGTAGTAATGTTTGTAAAAAGTTTTGGCATTGTAGAATATTAGGTGCAGTACAATGTATTGATGAATTTTTGAGTATACTTTGTTGCCGCTAATCATTGAAGGCCTTGATATGATTATGTATCAGGCTGCAGACTTTTATCAACAGCTGCCTCTACTGACTCCATACTGAAGATCAAATGGCCAGAAAGAATAAGTAACAAGAAACTGTGGGAACAAACCAACGGAACAAGAGCCGATTGCTCAGCAAATATGTAGGAGAAAATGGAGATGGATCGGGCATACACTGAGGAGGCTGTCGAATGACATCACGTGCCAGCAATACCCTCTAGTGGAATCCAAATAGGAAACGACGAGTTGGTCGTCCTAGGGTGACATGTAGGAGATCGTGTGGCGAGGAGGAGATGAGAGGTTATTGTCAGTCGTAGATCCAGGTGAAGAGGACAGCAGAGAATAAAATAAAGTGGAGGTGTGTTTCTGAAGCCCTATGTTCCACTCGGAACTCAAGGGAATAATAATATTATAATATTTTTTATCATATGAAATTATTCTACGAAGGAATTGTACTCTGCCACAGGGTTCAAATTCTAGTCTTATATTATTAAACCTTAGTTTTTTTAAAGCTCACTAATTTTAATAGCTTGAAAATGAAGTTCACGTGCTACTGTCGCAGACTGAAAACAGACCACTCTAATTACATGTAACTGTGTAACACAATGTACAGGGATGCCACAAATATAAGGAAAACATTTACTTATATTAACCATGTATGAGTGGGTGGATTTCCCTAGAAACTGAATTATCCTCATCAAAGACTACTGCTGAACACAGACGATTAGACCACCAAAAGTATACGAAAATTCTCCATAGGTGTAAATAAGGGAATAAAACTTGAAAATGGAACAATCCGAGGTAACACAAAGCATTAATAAATGACATGTGCTACCAAAGGTGGAATTATTAACCCTTTGGATATATGATTTTAAGCGATACCACTTTCAAAAATTATACACTTACGATTCTTATGAGGCTTGTGCACACCTCTATTATGTGGAGAAACTACAAATTCAATTAATAAAGTAGAAAAAAGATGAAACATTACATAAGAATGTTCAACGAAATACAGACAACTAAAAATTGACTCAAAAATTAAGTTTGTCAGGAAGCAAATTAATGTATTTCAGCGTATTTGCGATGAGCTACACTCATATCAGCATAAATGATACGTATGTTAAACACCAAATCGTTTTGAGACTAAAATATTTACGCCATTAAATCTGAAGTTTTAGTAAGCTGTTTGTTTGACAATTTATCACATATTCAAATGTCATACTTTTCATATCTTACAGAACTCCATACATTGTGTAGTTTACTGAGCAAATAACACACTAGAATCTAACAGTAACATAAGTCTAAAGGTAACAAAGACGGTGAGACTTTAATTCTGTGGGCTTATTATGATAATTTCTGAGTTATTTCATCTTCCTCAATAGGCTCGACGTGCGTCGGTGGCACAGTGGTAGAATGCTCGCCAACAACGCCTCATGTGGTTCGGAGTTCAATCACCGACTGACGCGCTCCTTCACCTCACTATACCAGCAATAAGACTGATAGAAAGGGAAGGTTGAGCATGAGGCTAGGAACCTCATCCTATAAAAATAAGCACCACTGCTACCGAAACTTCAAGCCTCTGGCTTGAAGCCGTATATTCCACTGGGAACGTAAAGGGATTTAAAAATTGGCTCGACAGAATAATAATTTAATCTATACATTCTTGTCGAAGTTAAATTAGACTTAGGACTGATTACTAATGCTAAATGAGGCTTTTCTGAAGTCTACTTAAAGGAAGTAACTGGTTGTATCATTTAATATACTTGTGTTAGGAATCACTACAGTAATTAAAGTTGAAATATTACGTCAACAAATGACTCTCATATTTTTATGTCTACGCATAAGCATATGACAAATACACAGCAATTTAAAAAATATGATACTGAATCCGCTTACCTGGTCGTCGTTCTAAAGTAGTTTAAGAAAAATATAAGATTCACAAGTTTATTTGAGTTATAAAGACAATAAAAATGAGTATTTCTATAAATCGTTCCTCAAATTAACAAAATATATTGACATTTCAGCCTACGAAAACTACATGATAATATGAAAGGAGGACTAATACAGCCAAAAGAGCAGGAAAAAGTGTACATCAAACGCAGATAGCATGTTTAAATATTACCCATGTTGAGGATGAAGCCTGGCAAACAAGCTGAGATGTGAAGTTAAAAGGCTGACAATTCTCCTAGCATTATGTTTCTTTTATTGTTACCTGATTAATTTTCAGGAGGTTTGCAGGTGAATACTACATGCTGCAGTAATATGTAAGTTGTTTACATTGTGGGAAATTATCTCTAAGAAACAAAATTTCCACATTAAATAAATAAACTTAATCAAGGAAAGTGAAACCAAAATGGCGACAAATAAAAATCGGACAATCGTACTCTGACTAAGGCTCATTGATCTACGAGCTTGATTTTCAACCATCGGATCACCTTTTCAAAATCTGCCCCGACTGCTGAAGTTTCGGTAGTTGGTAATATCATTATCTGTCCTGCAATATGTGCGGTCTATTATCAGATGCGTAGATATGATGGTGATTGTTGGGTTACATTCTGATTTTTTTGCAAATAATATCACTCAGTCGACTTGATCCCAATGATTAATGGCTACTTCATTATAACATGAAACTTTCCATTATATGTATACGTTACTTACGGGTAGTAGCATTGATTGGGGATCGTGTCACTTTCAGATGCCTCACAGTGGAATCTGTAAAATAATCATGAGAAGTTAGGAAACGTTTATAGAGTTTATCTAGATTAATCGATAACAACTACTGGAATTTCTGTTGTTATTTAATATACAAAATAATACAGGTATCATACGGAAGTTTGTTTCAGTTAAACTTACTACTTTTACCAGGATACGGTGCTATTCTCACTTGCCTCGTAGTTGGTTCTGTAAAAGCAAGTGAAGAAACAAGCACATATTTCTTAGTGATCTTCCGAGAGGAATACAGACTTCTAGAATCATGACGGTACGTTTTCCGTATAAACGGAATTTTTGTGGTGTAAATGTTGCGATATGTAGCAGTCAGTTTGATGGAAACAAAACTCAGTAACTAACGCTTCTCAATATAAGCATGTTACTTTTTAATTTTCTTGCACTATTACATAACCTAGTGCAAATGCATACGCAGAGATAGTCGAGTACTTTTCCTGTGTTCTGGTAAATTAACTGACACTAAATTACCCATCTGAGCCAAATACCTTGTGGTGAGAGCTGGCTGCTAGCCAAGTTGGTAGACATTAATTTACGTCAATGTTTATGTCCCACATATTGGTCGTGAGAAAAATAGGAACAAAGACTTTGCGTAGGCGGATACAGTTAGCATATAGATGATCTGACATTCAAGAAGCAGCCACAAAGAGATGAAAGATTAATTTTCAGTGAGAAACAACCAATCAAAAGACTGTGTTTTTCTGCTAACAATAATAATAATAATGTACATGAAAATATATAAATATGTGTTGATTTCCTTAATAAACGATCTGTTGCCTGGCCCTTGTCTTCTGTTGTTACAACCTGACCTCTCAGCTACTGCTTGACATATTCTGTCTAATTAAGTCAGTGAGATGCTTAAGTCAACAAATTTTGTCTCTGAATGACCCTAAAGGCTTAAGTGACCACCCTCTGTAATTCCAGTAATAATAAAAAACCTATATAGGATTTCAGATGCCCCTTCTCTGTTTGGTAGAACTATGAGGACTAAATTATTCATCAATCATATAACCAGTGGAATAACAGGGAGCACTGGACAGATGTTTCGTCCTAGTCCAAGACTCCTCAACTGTACGTACCCACTGGGATTGAAATCCAGGGCTTTCTACTTAGTTGGCAAGCATGCAGACCATTCAACCACTACATCAAACCTGTAACTGATCAATTTCCTTCAGATCAACACTTGAAAGTATTCATCAGTAATACTGTTTCCATCAACTCTTTTTGCGTTTTGAAAACTCTTAGCATCAGTACTGTTGAAGGCTACTTGGTAGGAATTATTCTTTATCTCTTGTTATGTAGTGAACGGATTACTAGCTCGCTTACTTAAAAACTCGACCGATATTTGGTGGGATGATTCGAAATATAATTTATTATCAGAATAAGATGGCTTTTTATGGATAAAGGTTGGCATATCGCTTATCTATTTTTATTTCATCTCATAACCTGAAACAGACAGTTCACTTGGCTCATTTTCTAAATCTAAAATAAACTGGATTGCATCTGCTAATGACCTCATATGTATATTTGAACGAATTCTGAATGTGATCATATTTCAGCGTTTCAGATTTATTGTTCTCAAATGCACATCACACCTTAGAAGCAAATATTTGCTGGAAATGCAGTAGTTCTGTAGAAATTATGTCACATCAAAACCCTCCATCTATATGCACCACGAAACTAGTAACTAGAAAGAATCGGTCAATTCTCTGTCTGGAAAGACAAAGACATCTTTTCAGTTAAGTTACCCAGCTCAGAGAGCGAAATGATACTGAAATGTTAGAAAGCAGTAAAACAAAGCCAATGATGCAATTGACATAATATGAGAAGCAAACTAAACTAGCACAACACTCCATTTATGTACGCCTATAATAAGAAGAGCATCAATACAATAAAATTTTCTGCTTTGAATGGTCTTACTTGGTTTATGAGTGAAACGTGGCTTTTTCACTGGTAACTTAGTTAAATCTGTAAATATAAAGAAAGAAAAAGAAAAAAGTGTATCTCAATTCGTATTTTTACTCAAACTCACTTATTACTCATCAGAGTAGTGATGTGATTATTATCTATAAAAATGAAGAAATATTTAAGATGCTTTTTCTAAATTTTAGGGAAGAAATAAAACATTTTCAGATAATAAATATTCAAAACGATGCGGGTGTTTCAGTTTAACTTACTAGCTGGCGTCGATTTTCCTGGTATCTTGGTTGAGTCTACAAAGAAAGGTAAATAAAGCAGCGTGTACTTTTTGATTATTTTGCAGTATTATTCATAAGTGTGAGTAGGGTCGAAATTATACAACATAATCTTATTTTTCATGATGAATCTTGTGACTGATAGTCAAGTTGTTCTCTTGTTGTGAGTAGTGACATTAGGAACGAATGGTCGTCTTTCTTGTTTCACATGAAGTTATAGGGTGAAGTCTTGTCTGCGGCTAATTTAAATTTATATTTCATCGACATCTGTGGTCATTTCACTTTATAAGTTATCAAAAGATTTTATGTCTATTATTTTTTCGAGAAATCCAAGAATTTATGAGTAGATTATTGTGTGCAATATTGACTACAAGAATCTTTGGGTGCAAGTAACTAGGGGATAGGTGAAATAACAAGAAGGTGTTAAGTGCCAGTCGTCGAAGGCCAGTTGTGTTGCAGCACTGACGAAGCTAAACGTATCCAACGGTCGAGAAAGAACGTTTTGCAACAGTGTAGGCGTCAGACGAATGAAGACCTTATGTACTCGGTCAACTCAGTATAGAATCTGATGATAAGAATCTAAATTGGCTAAAGACAACAAAAGACCCACTTGGGAAATTTTGTGGTGAATGCTACATCTACATTAGTACAACTCTACCATGGGGGAGAAAAATTTGTTGTCTGGAAATTTAATCTAGTTCGGCTGACGAGGCTGAGTTACCTGTGATTGCATACAGAATACATGCACTGGAACAAGACCTAATAAGACTTGCGAGCTCCCAAATGTTAGGTCATACCAGTGATTAGCGATGGGATGGATATAAACTGACCTATGACTAATGGGGAGCTAACCATGCTGCTCAGCCAAGAAGAACGATGAAGACTGAAAGTGTACAGAACTTTGGCTTGGTGAGAGAATGGTAGAAGCTGATTGGCGACGATACCTCACTAACTACTTCATGAGATGACGCCATACCGTCACCAGCTAGCACATTAAAGTGAAGCCAAACCAACCGATCTGTTGAGATAAAGCACTTACCAATAATAAGAGATGCTGCATAAATGTAGTTGACTGTCCGCAGTATCAGTTTATGAAAAGGGATCAGTGCATACGACCGTCTCTAGAATCGATTCCACTTACGGTAGTAGATGATTTGTGATACCTAGATGTAAGAGAACCTTTTCTGCTGGTAACTAGTACCTGCTGCTAATGACAGCATACTTTGCATGATAACTAGATACTGTTACGATTCCGTATCAATGCTCAAAGGGCATGACCGATGCAGATTATGGTAAACCAAATATGATGCTGACAGATCAGAGTTTACGTATTGAAACTGGAAGAAATACACCACATTTGCGTCAGCTAAATATTAGAAGGGATCAAACTACACCATATCACCCTCGGAACAATGCTTGGACTGAGAGAAATAACATAGCACTATAAGCGAGTCTGACCACAAAGTGAGATAACTAGGAGAAAGAGCTTGCATTAATTCCACTAGTAAATGGTGTCTTCATCCAGGAAACAGCAAAGAAAACACCATTTTGATTAATGTATGTTAGGAAACCATGACAGCCAAATAATCATCAGTGACGTTTGAATAGAGGGGAAACAAAAAAAGAAAAAAATCAGTCGGAAATCTGAAATAGAAGTGGAGAATTAACTCTACAAAATTAAGAGAGACAGAAATATGCATTACTTCTAAAGACTGAGATCAGATGAAGTATGCAGGAAGAAAAATAACCACTGGAGGCGGGTCGGGTTCATTAAAAATCCTTACAAAGTAGGAAGCGTCGTACACTGTCATCGAGAGACGTCATCCTGTTTATACTGTCAGAAGAACGGACAAACAGAAAAGTGTTATAACCAGTCAAGTGCAGAGATGAACACAGTGGGATAAAGAAGTCGGCACCAAGGATCAACAAGAGTAAGTATCACTCGAATAGTTGGAGCGACTGGACTTGAGTAATTTTGACGGGAATAAAAGTGTGGTATGTGTTTCTGGTTAGAATTTATAAGCGGTATATTTTTTGCATGATGCGTTCATCAAGTATCTTGAACAGCGGAATGGCGGAAAACTTGCAATTACAAAAAAATGCAAAGATCATTTGTGAAATAATATAAAAAGCACGGAAGGAAGACAAAAGTATGAGAATACGAAGAACTTTTACAAGTGGAAATATCAACGCAGACTTTCTTTATTTTGCAATCATTGACATTTTAATATTACAGTTATCATCATGTCCAACAGAAAAACACTTGCAACTAAGCTATACTGTGAAAACAAAATGTATATAAGTTGCGACTATATTGCTATTGAAAATGAAATCGCCAGGAAGATATCTTCTCCTTTTCAACTCTTGTCATCTGCCTAACTTTACCCTGAGAGCAGTATTTCAGGCCATTGAATCAATGTTCATGTAATCAATTTGATGTGATTTTACCATAGATAGATCATTTCAACTATTTACTGCCGAAAAATCCATTTTGTAATCAACTACTTCAAATTTGTAAGTAGAATAAAACATTTTATCGAAATTCTACGTATACATTGTATTTGTATGTGTTTTTCAGTGTTCATCTACTTACTGTCTGTTTGAATAAAAACACAGCATAGCCGTAATATGCGTCGGTGGCATAGCAGTTAGGACACTCGCCGACCATGCACATGGTCCGAAGTTCAATTTCCGGCCGACGCACTCCTTACCTCGCTAGCAGAAAAGCTGTAAAAAAGTGGGCATGAGGCTAGCAACCCACCTGTAAAAAACACTCAAAAACTTCAAGCCTCTAGCTTGAAGCCTATGTTCCACTGGGGAACGTGAAGGGAAAAAACTGTAAATTATAAGCCAAATGAGCATTCTGCCGTCAAATACTTCTGTGTTCTTCCGCTACAATACATTAAATCTGTAAGTTATTGGCCATGTAAAATATCCATAAAAACAGCTGAAATTCCTGGCCACTTGTCTTTTCAGGCGGTGCTCTCAGCATAAGAATAGTAGTACATTAGTCAGGCACTTGTTATCGTTCGTTGAAATACTGTTTAGCTTACAACAAGTAAGTTAGAAGAACTTCAAAATTATCCATTTTTTGATCACTTCAAGCATATTAAAACTATGCCTTACATTTATCTTATGACAAACGCTCTGCAGAATGATAGAAGTGACAACACAAAGTGACGTGGACTAAGAAATACGGAAGTGACTGGGTAAACTACATGCCAATTCAAATGCGTTATACACATGTATTGTAAAAGCTTAAAGTAGTTCAAAATTCAAAGCTGAAAGACATAAATCAGCAATCATTTCATTTTACTTTAACTTACCCAAATTATTAGGCAATGTTGCCACTCTTCTTGGCCTCTTAGTTGGATCTATAATATATATAAAGGTAATTAAGAGATTTCTTTTCTAGATATTAGATAAACAAGAAGACTAAATTACTGATGAAAACACTTTTCACTAATAAGTATTTAAAATGATGAAAGTAGTGTATTAAAATTTATTTCATTTCAGCTTACGGGTTCTTCGAGTAAATTTCACTGGCTTCTTAACTGTTTCTGTCAATAGATAAAAACATACAAATAACAGTGTTGAAGACTTTCTTCATTATTTCACTGAGGGTAATAATTTACTCTATAACAAATACAATTAGTCAAAAGATGTTTATATCATTCAAATATTTATATTAACGTTTAGCTGTTCATCTTTCCGCTGAATAGACGAAAGTAAATACTAATTACTTCCATAAACTGAATGATAACGTGCTCACCACTTAATTTGAATAATTCTGAAGATGGGTACATTAGTTACAAGCTTCATTCACATCATGACAGAATAATCATCGGTAACCACTGGGTTTCATAATCACTGTCCAACCCATATCGATTTAGTGATATAAACCGTTGAGTAGTACATCTTATGGTGACTTTTTACTTAACTCTCATGACACCATACTACTTAAAAGATAGTTGTAACACACGAAATTCATAGTTAAGGCAAGTTTTGATTCTATTATAAAATTTTATTGATTTACAATCTAAATGTGATTAGTTAGTTAATGCGAAACATAATAACTGAAGCGACTTCTACTGACATTGTTTATTCAAAATGAAAAGGCAATCACTGTCTTATTTCATTGACCAAGAGAATTGTCTTTGTTTTTGTTTACAAATAAAATTAAGAAGACAGTTACCACATAAACAATAGAAAAATAAGAAACAATTTAGTATACTGAAGTTAAAATGTAGGAATTTCATGATATTTATTTACTAATGCCCATGAGTTAGCGGGCTGTCGTCGATGTAACGAGACACATATGTGAGTTGCCCGTGGATTTAAAATCAGCCACCTCTAAATAACAAGTCTAACCTACTATTAGCCGACAACATACAATGACTAACTTCTAGTTATGTCAAAAATTATGGCATAGGATGAGCATAGTAGGAAATCAATACCACTAAACATGTTCCATGAAAAGACCGGTATAGTAAATAAATGTATAGTTTACTTAGTAAATTTTGATATTTGTCTTTTTTTTAAAAAAAATAAATTATTAGGAAAGTCTGAGTAAAATCTGGCAATAATTCAAAGTTGTAAGTCGTCATTTTATTATATACTTACGGTTTGGACTAGGTGTATTTATTGCTCTGAAATGCGGAGAAACTGAAATGAGCAACAGAAAAAAAAAGTAGAATCAGTTTACTGTTATTACAGCACTTACTTTATGACTGAAGCATGCTTAACTGCAATTTATTTACAAGTAGAATTCTTTTTAATAGAAGCCCTGAGATTTCAGTGAAATAAGAAACAGACATCAGCTTATTTCGATCATATAGGAATACCTTTTGCGCCAGATAGAATAATATTTTTACAGACTAAACACACTGACTTGTAGCTTACATCAATCTACCTACAAACCATTTTTATTATTATAAATTCATAAAATGTTATGGCAGTGTTATATACGTCAGTTTAAGTACTGAGTATCCGTATTCTCTTTTTCGTTCACGTAAAAATAACAAGTATTAAGAATCAGGTATAACTCATATCCACTATCTCCAGTAATTGTTATTATTATATATATTAACCAAATAATTTGTGGTGAATTCGATTTTAGATAAGTTCCGGTGACAGAACACCCGGTGATTACCGTATTAATAAGGGAATGACGTTTTCAGTACAATTTATTGCTCATAACTGACATGATTTTGTGTGTGCGTCTGTGTGGGTTATATCAAATAAACTTGTTTTATATGGAATCACATTATACCACAGTGCCTAAATTCTTCGCCTACATTATTTCTTGTATTGACAACTTGACTCTCATGGCAATCTTCGGAGGATAATTACTGTTCATGATAATATACAAACATTATTTCCTATTCAAGGGAATGCTCCATATGATCGACAGTTGTTGTTACAGAAAGATTTCAGATTGGTGGCCACGCTAAAATCACGAATCGATAGAAGTTAGAATTCAGTGACCATTGAGTCAAGTCCCAGTGGCAAAATGTTCTGTGAGATTACCTTGTAACCGGAAGATCGTAAGTTTGAATTCCAGCGATGCGAACAGCTGGTGAGTCTCAAACTAGGGGGAAACATCTGTCCAGTACTCTATGGTTTTTACTGGTTCTCTGAATGATATCAATCGTTGGTCAAACGTGAAACATTTCATTCTATTTAATTATACTGGATTTTATTATGAATGAATTATTCAGTCAATATTTCAAAAACATCCTCATGACTAGATCACTTTTACTTGTACGGAAAGAACATTGAACAGTTTAAGATAACTATAAGCAATGACCACCACACTGTTTTTATTCCTTATTCAGAGGAATTCAACAACACTTAGAATCAGCTCAAACAAACACAACACTTTATATTTGCTAGTTGTTGCAATCTAACTGGAGATTACTCATGCCTTTTAACTGGGAGGTATTCACTGGTATCAGGTGTATAATACTTGCGCTTCAATAAAATCTTCCATGTTGCAAAATGATGCAAAGAAGTAATATTCACCGAACATTCACAAATAAGAATTCAAAAAGACATTTTATGACTTACCAGGTCGCTGACCTAAAGGTTTGGACAAAAATCATTAAAAAAATAGCTTCAACATTATTTATGAAGTGAATGGGTTGCTTAAAATTATTCAAAATTAATTTCTGCTTCAGTAGAGTGTGCCTGTAACATGTTATATTGAATATATAGTAGGTACTGTAGAAGGTATTTTCAGATTATCTAATTCCTTCATGTTTATTTAATCTGAACTTTCTCTTGATATGGTCAATGCAATAGAAATTCTTTCGCAAATTCCAATTCGCTTACTTGTCTAACAACAAACTTTCCAAATGTCAACATTTCAATGCTTCACGCTTCGGTGTAATAGAAAAGGCTGTTTAATCTAGTAAATTCTTTACTTTACAAGACGACTTAGTTAAAAATTAATACATCAGTGGTTTAATAGTAGAATGCTAGTGAGCCTTGCAAGTGGCCTAGTGTTCAATTCTCAACTAACGTACTCCTAAACCTCGATTCGGTAATAGTACACCCCATAAAGAGGGAATCTCGGTCATGAGGCTAGTAACCCTAGCCTGTGAAAATGACAACATCACTGCTTTTGAAACCTCAAAACTCAAGCTTGAAGCCATATGTTCCACTTGGAATGCAAAAGTAAAAAAGGATATATTATTATGAATATTTGATAACAGCATAATTCCTTCATATGTATTTTATATTTAATTGGCATTAAATACCATGCTTATAGGTTTAAGCTGCCTTGAATTTCGACAACACTTTATAAACCTATGCATAAGCAAAGTGATAAACGCTTCATACAATTAGCTCAAATAAAGATCACTACTCTCAGTGGAAATCTTTTTCAGTCAGGAGTATAGAATTAGTGAGTAAGACCTTGAAAACTGATTTTCTTGTACCTCAACTTACTGTAATTGATAGAGTATGGTTTTTCATCTAGTGGATCTGACTTTGATTCTAAGAAGAAATAAAAATGAGCAGACAGATACTTTAAGGATATATCATCGTTTACAATAAGTTAGCGAAATCGGCGGCCTGCTTAAATCACTGGGCTACCGAAATTACTTTCCACTAAAATGTTTAATTTCATCTGGATTAATTATTGTTTTAATCGTTAAGTTATATCAAATGACCTTTACATGAACTTGCGCGCTGGTTTAACTTGCTTCCAAGTAAACGCTGTGCAATTCTTGAACGAAACAAAGATATCCTTCAAATTTATACTTTACATGTAAATCTTGTATGAAGAAAAAAGTATTTTAGACCTAATATGCTGAAAATATTTGTACCATATGTTCGCATATTGTCTGAAAAAAGCTTTATTATAATAAAAAATATTACAGTGATCCTGGAACTGATCTGTTTAAGATTTTTGTATTCACACGATATGTGTTTTTGGTGAAGAAATATTCTTTTCACAGATTTAACACGGTAATATTTTTTTAATGAAAACACATTGCCTTATTTAGTACTTCCATATACGCGCCTGAAAAAAACTCCTGTGTTGACTTGAGTATCACTAAAAGTGCATATTACTGTTATGTACACAGTAATGGAGAATACTCGAAGCATGTAAAATTAACGGAGGCGATGTCACTGCCCAGCTATAATCTGACTACACAGAAACAATCGTGAATAAATTTCATTCAAGAAGACAGTGGCACAATTTTGCTTAGAATCAAGATCTTTCTACCAGCCATCTTCATCAAGAAGTATTTTTGGAGTCACCTCTGGAAAGGAATGAATATTTTATTCTACGTTACACGAAGAACATCTCAAATATCGCAGTTGTTATTCTGCTGAAGCTTTATTTAGCTGTTATGGTTCACAAATCTACAAACTTTCTTCCTTTTAACTTATGTAAACCACATGAAAATCATAGACTTATGGAAAAATAAATCTTAAATAAAAAGTTAGAAAATCCAATAATTATAATAATAAAAGCTTCATTCTGAAAATTTGTGTTTGTACAGAATTTTCAGCGAGTTTCATTGAAAGGTTTCTCTTGTACAAGACAAAAATAGTTTTGCAGGGTTTATAATTCACATTGAATGCATTCTACATCGTTTATGGAGTAATAAAATTCTTTTACCTTTATTTTTACCTTTTTTTAGAAAATTGTATATCAGGCAAATAAGTCTGGAGAAAAATTATGGGTTTCTATGAAGATAATTCAAAGTCCCCTGTATTATATTTAATGTACAATCAGTCAGACAATTTGTGACTAATTTCAATTCAGTTTTCTATCCTCGAGAAGTAGTCAACTTATTCTCAGGTTAGCTTATTTCTAAATGAGTTGAAAAATCCTTAATTCTCATTCCTCTATTAAAGGCTTTCTCTTTCAACATTCATCTAACAACTTTAACAGGTTATAGTGTTTCCTGAACGTAAAATTCAAGCTAGAATTGAGGTGCACCATAGTGACAAGCTACAGAGTTAGTTAATCAAATTACTGTTCATTGTAAACAAAAATATAGCAAACAATATGTTAGTTATGGATGCATGAAATACCTAATTCTTTTAACAAGACACTGACTTTTCTCAATTGTGTCTTATTTCTTACAGACACTGAAGTATCTTCCAAATATCCAATACAGTCCTACAGGAGGTCAGTCGCGAGCCTGAATAGCTCAGTGGTAACGTCTCTGACTGCAGCACCGGGTGATGCGGGTTCGAATCTCAGAAGGGACATCAGTTCCTTCAAGGTTGCAGATACGCCTTGCTGATGTGTGCCAACTAGCTCGAAACCTAGGTGGAAGGCTTCTTGCCGATTGCCTCCAACCATCTAGTATCTTCGGTTTGTTTTACTTCTCAGAAGTGCATAACGAATGTCATTATTTTAAACCGTTTTTTAAATATAGATAGCAATAGATAAGTGTTATTGTTTTCATCAAAGTTTAAATATGGGAATATGCATTTAATTTTTAAGATATTATGCAAAAGAACATTGAGGTTACGAGACCAGGACGTAATGATTTATAATCATTGGGATGACATTCTTTGATAAAAGATCTCCAACTTCTACTGACTCGCAACACACTGCCACTGTTCTTATGTATCTCATCCACTCACAAATTACGACTAAGCTAATTCTCCTATTACAAGTCTTATTTCTCAACAACTTTTTGAATAGACTTTAAAACTGATTTATAAAGGAAATAACTCATTCATTAACTAACGCATAACTTATACGAGTTCGCCGAAAACATGGAATTCATAAACTACGACATATTCATTAGTGATTTTATGTAGCAATGTAAAACTGATTCTTCAGTGAACTTAACTTTCTCAGATGTAAATTTCTTTATAATATAGTTACTTCAATGGTTATAGGGGTATTTTGCATAACTTCAAATTATTAGAAACTGATTTACACTAAATAGACTAAATTGATGCTTTTAACAGTGTAAATGTTCATAGCTTCA